GTTTGAGCCTTATATTTCTAGCGTGAGAAACACTTTCGTCTATACTTGGAAAAATACATCGGCGGGTACTGATACTATCGTCAACAGCAAGAATCACATCATTAGTTTTTTATCACGGTTGAAGTCAGCTGATATTACAGAATGCGGTTGGACTTCAGCCGTATAGAGCGTTTGCGTCAGAAAGGTTCTACCTCCATTGCCGAGCAGCACACTGACGGTATTGTCGAACGAGTTGGCCACTGCTAGGTCCAGTTTCTTGTCATTGTTGAAATCACCTGATATTACAGATTCTGCAAGGCCACCAAGCGTATAGTTCATTTGAGTCTGAAAGGTACCATCTTCATTGCCAAGCAGCACACTCACGGTATTTTCGGGCGAGTTGGCCACTGCCAGATCTAATCTGCTATCACTGTTGACGTCACCTGACATCACACAATCTGGGCTGGTACCAACCGGATAGATCGCTTGAGTCTGGAAGGTTCCATCGCCATTGCCAAGCCGCACACTGACGGTACTGTGTTACCAAAACAACTCCATATCAAGTAATGTTTGGACAACCACCTCGTTCAGATTCAGAATTTTGGAAACTTGTGGGACAAAATGGAATTGATGATGAAGAAGATTTACCAACACCAGTAGCTGAATTAGACAAGGAAACACTGGATAATAAAAAAGATGATACGATTAATTCTGCTGATGTTATTGATAGTGATGTGGTTAAAATTGTTGAAAAATTATCTGATGATGTTGTTTCCAGTTCCAAAGTTTATTTAGCTACAGCAAATAAAAAAATGAAACAATATAAAGATAGTATAAATAGTTTAGCAGATAAATTTAATTTAAATGATTGTGTTGGAGTTCCAATTCTTACGGTTGATAGAACAAATACCGATTAGGAGTGCATCGGTTATTTTTTCGTATTTTTCAAAAATTCACAATAAATGTTTTGTATTTTCATAAAAACGATTTGCAACATTTTTCTAAAACGGCAGTTTTGTAGAGAAAACATTTCTCTACAAGATGACATATAATAGTTAATTTTAAAGGTTTTGGGTTTCTTTAAAAAGCGTTTTTGATAGAGAGGCGTATCGGTTAATAACCGACCGTAGGTTTGAGGAAAACGCTTTATAAAAGGAAACAAAAAACTTTAAAATTAACTATTATATGTCATCTTGTAGAGAAATGTTTTCGCTACAAAACTACCGTTTTAGAAAAATGTTGCAAATCGTTTTTATGAAAATACAAAACATTTATTGTGAATTTTTGAAAAATACGAAAAAATAACCGATGCACTCCTAATACCGATGCTAAATATTACTCTGGTCAAAACTAGAATTCTAATTTTGTCCGAGCGAAATTAGAATTCCAGTTATGTCCAGACAAATTCGGAATTTGACCGAATTCTAATTTTGTCCGCAACATATACATCGATCTAGAGAATTATCTATAGATATATATGTTCACGGGGAAAAAGAACTGGAAATAAATTCTCTTGCGTTCTTGTAGTTAGACAGAAAAGTACAGCCTATCCAACCCTGATCAGTGTCTGTTTCTTGGAAATTCTCAGGACCAGTCCAAACTTACTATTTATCTGATCAGCAGAAAAGTCAGATTTTCTTGACCTGTTCTTATCACTTTCTTGGTCTGGCCTTGGAGCTGATCAGGACAAGAAAATAAAAACAGGAAACAGACAATTGTAAGTAAATAAGTCTCTACCCTGTTCTCAAGATCAGATAAACTGGACATTCTCTAGGGTTTCATCTACTTCAATGACACTGTTGGATTTATCTAGTTTTTACCTCAAAATTATCCTATCCTCTTACACTGTGCAGAGAACATGTGAGATTTTCCATATGAAACCCTGTAACTTGAGAATGGAATATCCTAGAGAGCTGAAACTTTCAGTGTACTTAGTACAGTTCTTTTACGTCTGAATACTCAAGTGTATATGCTTTTTTTGACTCAGTTATGAATTTTCTATTTTAAAGATTTTTCGATAGGAAAATCAAAAAATGGCTATAACTTTTGAAGGAAGAGCCGTCAGCAGAAATTCTTTTAGGCTTTTGCCTATCTGGATATACTCGATCGATCGAGATATGAATGAATAAAAACAGGTGTGACACCTGCAAATGTTTCCGCGTGAGGAAAACAGTTATATATATAAAAGTTATATGTATCATTATTTCATGGTCAATTTCTGAAGTTTTTGAAATGAAAAACGATTTCTATGTAAAAAGGTTGGAACGATGAAACGAAGGTCTGACTTTGTCACAAATCTTCCGACTTACAAGGTACTCTGATAGATCTAGGTGTAAAATCAAAGTGAAGAGTCGTGATGTGAGAAGATTAAGAACCGTTCTAAGACGTGAAGAACGGTTGCTCGAAACGATCGCATTGGAACTTACATATCGAATGTGTTTGAGCCTTATATTTCTAGCGTGAGAAACACTTTCGTCTATACTTGGAAAAATACATCGGCGGGTACTGATACTATCGTCAACAGCAAGAATCACATCATTAGTTTTTTATCACGGTTGAAGTCAACTGATATTACAGAATGCGGTTGGACTTCAGCCGTATAGAGCGTTTGCGTCAGAAAGGTTCTACCTCCATTGCCGAGCAGCACACTGACGGTATTGTCGAACGAGTTGGCCACTGCTAGGTCCAGTTCTTATGTCCTAGCTGTTAGACTATGTGCTAGTCCATAAGTTGTTATATATGATGTAATATAATGGTTTCTCTCTCTCTCTTTTGTTATTTCATATATTTCGTTTTTAGTTAACATGTACTTTTTTCTTTGCTCAAGTGGACGGATCTTCTTTCTTCTGTATTTATAAACTAGTTTGTCTGTGAAGATTTTGTTTTACTCCTTTTCATTTTTATATATATTCAAACTGTTTTCATTGTTATATTCATTCTGCTATAATAAATACATATTAAAGAGATACAATATCGCTTTCATACCCATTGACACAGGTTGGTGATTTCTCTCTCGCTGCAGATTTTGTTTAGCTTCTCCAGAACCCACTAGACACTGGTCTCGGCTTATTCATAGAGGCGTGGGACTGGTCTCATTTCTCGTGATTACTAGTCGTTTTCAGCATCAGAGAGCTAACAAATGGGGGCCTGACGCCATTCATATATTACACTGTTGAAAAATAAGCTCACTGTTCGTGTGTGCTGTTGTTTTTCTTTTTTTACTCAGTCCCAGTTGATTTACATTTGTCGTCGATTAACAAGGATACAATTAAACTAAGCTTTTTGTTTAACTGAAATTTGTTCATTTATTATTTGATCGTGGTTTTCATCTCAAACACCTCTATATTGTAAAGATCATATTTTATTTATTTATATTTTTCGTCAGTTATCGTTCGTTAGCCGCTCATTAGAGCCTTCACAGAATCATAGTCGAAAATTAGTAACAAGAATTAGTTATTTGTTTGGATTTAACAAAACAAAAAAAAGGTATGTTAGGCTTGGTATTATTTCGAGAATAAGGTTAATTTATCCTGGTGAAACAAAGAAATACACGAAAAATTAGATTAAGGCTTGTGCTTTTTGTGGTTTATTGTAATTTCAATCTGGATATAATTTTGAGTAAAATCTCCTTATCCCAAAATAGTAATCCCAGAAAAAGAAATTCAGAAAAGCAGAGGCCTGGATATATTTTTTATGAACAGTTATCGAGTTTTTTCACCGTTTCACCACATATAATGTCACGTAATGCCACATATCACACGATCCAAATTAAACTCGAGAGATCTAACACTCGAAGAATGTATACAATATGCAGTAAATTCTGCTAAAGAAGACTCATCATCAACACGTAAGAAAAAATCGTCTTCTGAAGAAAAATTTGAGGAACAACTATATTCAGTACCTACAACATCAGAAGATATCCTCCCTCGCAGTACACCGTCAATTCTTTCACCCCAAACAAAACAACAATCACCTATATCAACCGACCCTGTCCCTGGAAATACTCTCATAATATCAACTTCTACACTCACTCGTAGTACCTCTTCATTAAACATGGATAACGTGGAACAATTCAAAACGTTTGAAAAAGACCAACTGGACACAATCCAAATACTTGATCATACCAGAACCGATACAATTCTAGTATGGCTTTCTTCTAT